TTAGTACCGTCCACATGCTCAAACACTTGGCCCTCCAACTGCTATTCGGAGTATCAAATCATATTGAACTCAGAGCCACCATGAAAATGCCACGTACTTTGGAAGAACACAACGGGTACGTACTTGGAAAACTTTCAATTGAATTTTTTTTAAAATTTTCTCATGTTTTTCTTTTGAGTGTTTTCTGATTGAGTGAATGGCTTTATGAATATATTTGGTCATATGGCTAAGAATTGGTGAAAAGAAAATGACAAATAGGAGAAAAACTTTTTATTGATTTAGGAACTAGATGAGAGTGGTTTCTAGTCAACATGTTTATCTAATTGATACTTTTACAAATTCTTATTGCTTAATTAGTGGAGGTAGAAAATTGTATTTAATCGTTTTATGTCGCTAAATAATGATGATGATTGCTTTTTGTTATAATAACACATAAACGGGGTTCATACAGGTGACATGAGGGGAATAATAAATAAAATTATAATATCACATGAAGAGTAATTTGATTCTTTTTTTCTTTTTTTAAACGTTAACAAACTTCATAAGCAACATGCTTACAAATCCTAACTTATTTGTTTAATCATTCAACACGTATCATATCATTTATTATTTATTCCTCCCATTCTAATATTTTCATAATATGTTTTCTTAACAGACATGTTTTTACAAGGACCAGAGATGGTGACAAATACACTGGTTCAAGTATCTAGTAAACGCTGAGCAATACAGTAATTATCAATTTGACCAACAAATCCTTCAAATATTCCACTGAATCAGTCACTACCAACACATCAATTTACCTCATCGATTCCTCATGATTTTCAAGCTCGTCATCAGCCACATCCAATGAAGGAATTAAACCCACCACAAGTCCTTCAAGCTTTCCTGTTCAAATGACATCTTCCCCAATAATAAATCAGCAGTTTAACCAGCAACAGAATATCACACAGTCCCTCCCTTGCATGCAAACCAGCATGGTCCACCTGCAACCAAATCTGATGCCCAAGTGCCCAAAATTTTCATCACCACCAAACCCTTTTCATGCACATTCAACTCCTCAAAATCACATTATTTCTTCAGTTCGTCCCATACACCAATATAGTCCACAGCCACACCATGATCAATTGCTTCCCAAGGCATCCCTTGAATTTTCATCACTCTGTAATAGGCAACACTGGGTCAACCAACCTTCCTTTAACTCAGGGACACCAAGTAATGTTCATACTGATATCCACAAGGGAAGGTCATGGACTGAGGAAGAACACAGGTATGTGTAAGCATTGAAAATTTCTCAGTTTTTTATTGTTGTCTTTTTGAATCATAAATGTCCTAATATATTTTCTTTTGTTTTCTAATTATAGGTTATTTCTGATTGGATTGCAAAGATATGGGAAGGGAAATTGGAAGAACATTTCTGAAAATGTTGTGAAGACAAGGACTCCAGTTCAGATTGCCAGCCATGCTCAGAAGTTCTTTAATCACCAAATCAACAAAGGGAACAAAAAGAGAAGAAGAAGAAGCATCCATGATATCACCAATCCTGATGTTCAAACCCAATGTCAGCATCAAAATCATTTTGTTCCTTCAAGTCATGCAATGAATCAATCTTATTACAACCCACAGAATCCCCCAAATGCTGTTCAATCTCTTCAATTTGTAAACCCAAACGGCAGATTTCTTGTGTAAAGATTGTTTTTCTTTAACTAATTTTGTAGTATATAATGATTCTTTGTTTTCTTGCATTGTAGTGAGTTAGATATTGATAAGTTTTATAGGATTATTTTCAGACTAGAATCAACCAAAGAAGAAATATTAGTTTGGAATAAAACGAATATGGAATGTGATTAAGGAATCATGGAGTACGAAACGAAAATATTATTTTCACACTAGATTGCTGATTATGCAGATTAAGTATATTTGTTATAACTCCAGAAAGGGGAAATATGCTGAATTATCATTCTCTAATTAAAAAAATAAAAGAAAAAAAATTAATTTTATATTTTAGTTTGTAATTTTTTGTTGAAAAATGAAAATATATAGTTTCTTAGTGTTAGACTATTAGCATAGCTGAGTGTACAATTCAATTTTTTACATTTTCATTTATTAAGCATAAAGTGATGTTGTGATTTTGGAATTCAATAATATGGGTTCCAAGATTTTTTTGATAGACAGTATATAGTACTATTTAATTTTTGCAGTTAGTAAAATACAAATGTCTTTTGGTAAAAATAATTTTTTATGACAAATAAAATAACAAAAGGTACGTAATTGCGTGAGATTGAAATTTCGCTTGTTTTTAAATGAGTGAATATTTGTAGGAAATAGCCATGCTTTCTTGTGACAGAAGTATATACACGAGATTCTCCTATTTGTCATTAAAAAATAATTTTAATTTATCTTATTTTTTAAGGAATAGAGTTCCTTTTGAGATTTTTATAATGCTTATTTGAGTTTTCAAAAATAATTGGGAACTTAAAAATATATTTTTATTACTCGGAGAAGTTACTTTGACAATCAGTAGCTTTTGAAAAAAGAATATATTTTTTTAATAAATGAAGCTAAGATACCTGAAAACGGTCAAAAACACCATAAAATTTGAAAATTACTAAAAAAATAATTTAATTTTTTTTAATTTCAGTTAACAGAATAATATTTCTTTTCAATGGTCACCCATCTGACCATCGATCAATGAACATCAATGGCCGGTCAACTTTAGTAGAGAGGGATGAGTCAAATTAAGATTGAAAATTGATTATTTTAAATTTAATTTAATTAAAATTCGGGGCATATTTTTTTGGCCAAAAAATTAGGGGCCTATTTGATTTCGTGTTTTTAAGAACAGTTTTTTTATTAAAAAGAATAGAAATATATGGTTTTCATTATATATTCTAGAAGAATAAAAAAAGTTGTCCCAAAAAAAAGCAGAACATCTTTTTGATATTTTGTTATTTAAAAAAATTAGGGAAGAGTCCAAGAATGCTGTATTTGATTATTTTCAAGTAAATTCTTCTTACACTCTCCACTATATCATTTTAGACGTATTTTTTTAATAATAATAATAATTCAGACAGATTTTTAAATTTTTATTTTTAAAATATTTATTAAAAAATTGTTATAGGGAATTGTTTTTTAATAACACAAAACGTTTCTTTTGCCAACTGCGTATTATATATATTTGAAATTAGATAATTTTTTTGACCAAATGAAATTAGATAACTTCAGAATGTGAAAAAGGTCTTTTTAACTTATCTCATTAGATATGGTTTGCTCCAATGCTCAATTAAAATGTTAAATTAAATAAATGGTCAAGATTAAATAATTCTATCTATGGCCGAAAAAGACGGGTCTTGCATTTAATTTTCATGTAAAATTAGGTTATTATCTAAATAAAAATGAGCAAACAAGGTTAATAAATCTGTGAAATTTGTTGATTCATATATCTGCTATTAGTATAGTTTAAATTAAATTAAACTAAATTAAAGTCTATGTTTCAGGCCACGAAATGTTTATATCCATATTAACTATATTTTACATTAATATTGAACTGGTGATTTTTAATTTTTTAATTTATATCCCATTCTTAAGATTTATGAAGCTTATGATCATCTTGTTATTTGATTGAACTCATTGCAACGGTATGTATATCCTATATTTTCCAATCTTTTCAAGCGTAAAACTTGGACCCTACTAGAGATGAAAACTAGGTAGGTTTTGGTGAAATATGATAGAAACATTAATCCAAGTCTGCAAAATAGGATCGAGGCAGGAATTTCTTCCAGGGGTGAGGAGAAAAAAATAATTATTTTTTAATTACAATTAACTAAATAATTATGAAAATTATTTTTAAATTATTTTCATTAGAATAACATAAATAATAAAATTTACTATTATATATGTATAAAAAATATACTATTAATTATATAAATTATTAGAAATATCGATCGAGATAAGACGTTTAAGTATACACAGTATATGTATTTATTCATTTAGTTTCTTTCACAATTTTTATATGAATATTACATTATTTTGATAGCTGTGCAAATGATATTTGTAAGAGATATTTTTGAATTATATTTATATGAATTTTAAATTTAATATGTCCAAAACCCAAAATGATGTTCCTAAGAACTGTCAAATATTTGTGAAGTTCATAAACTTGGTAATCTCATATTAATAATTTGAATTATATTTATTCTGAATACAATTTTCTCTCACTCGCGCGTGTTTTGCTTTTGACTATGCTTTACACAATGATTGAATTGGTGATCTTTATTTCTTGAATTTTCTTTCCTTATATCTCATTATTATTAAGATTTGTGAAAAATATAACCCTGCTATTTGGTTGAATTTATTACAAGTGCGTACACTTTATTTAATTTTTCCAGTGTTTTCAAATTTGTAATACTCGTCTAATATATAGATATGCATAAAGAAAAACTAGCATTAAAGTGTAGCTATAGAGTCGTAAACCTCTTCATGAATATGGAATTGAAATCGACATACTTACAGGTTTGAGACAATATGACAATGGAGTTGGATATTGATGAAATCGTTGATGCACTTTTTGAAGGACAACTGCTACATTATAATGCCAATGATGTGCCGGAGAATGATGAAGCGGATGCCCAACACCTTGAAGAGCAACTAGTACTGAGAGAGGCCATTGACGTGCCAGATATTGATGAACATGTCCAGCGTCCTCAAGAGAAAGCGCCAGACGCCGCCACCATCCCCGTCGTTGACGCTAATGTATATGTTCGGCATCCAGAAGAGCAACATCCAGACGGCACCACTGTCATCGCCCCTGCCGCCGATGTGGCAGAGAATGAAGCAAGTCAGGCCTTAGTACCGTCCACATGCTCAAACACTTGGCCCTCCAACTATTATTCGGAGTATCAAATCATATTGAACTCAGAGCCACCCATGAAAATGTCACGTACTTTGGAAGGACACAACAGGTACGTTCCTCAAAAACTTCCAATTCCAATTGTTTATAAATTTTTGCTCATGTTTTCTTCTGAGTGTTTCTGATTGACTGAAGTCTTTTATGAATATGTTTGGTTATATGGCAAGAAGTTGGCGAAAAGAAAATAATAAATAGGAGAAAGCTTTCTGAATAGAACAATTTGATTTAAGAATTAGAGGAGAGTGGTTTCTAGTCAACATGTTTATTTGATTGATACTTTTACAAACTATTATTACTTAATTAGTGGAGGTAGAAAAATGTATTATAAATAAATAATTTACTTAGCTTTCATAATCAACCCAAATTCGTTCAATAGCACTTGCATTATGAGCATCATGAAAGTATATGATATAATCACTAATATTTGCATAATGTGTTTTTCTTTTGTAACAGACAAGTCTTATAAGGACCAGAGATGGTGACAAATACACCGGTTCAAGTATCTAGTAACACTGGACAATACAATAATCATCAAACTAACTCTATGGATCATATTTGTGGTACAACTCCTCGAACTCATACTATTACTTCATTGCATCAATTTGACCAGCAAAATCCTTCAAATATTCCACTGAATCAGTCACTACCAACACATCAATTCCTCATACTTTTCAAGTTCATCATCAGCCACATCCAATGAATGGATTAAACCCACCACAAGTTCCTTCAAGCTTTCCTGTTCAAATGACATCTTCTCCAACAATAAATCAGCAGTTTAACCAGCAACAAAATATCACACAGGCCCCCCCTTGCTTGCAGACCAGAATGGTCCACCTGCAACCAAATCTGATGCCCATATTCCCAAAATTTTCATCATCATCAAACCCTTTTCATGCTCATTCAACTCCTCAAAATGACATTGTTTCTTCGGTTTGTCCCATACACCAATATAATCCACAGCCACATCATGATCAGTTGCCGCCACAGGCATCCCTTGAATTTTCATCACTCTAATAGGCAGCACTTGGTCAACCAGCCTTTGTTTAACTCAAGGACACCAAGTAATGTTCATAACGATATCAACAAGGGAAAGTCATGGACTGAGGAAGAACACAGGTATGTGTAAGCATTGAAAATTTCTCAATTCTTTGATACTGTCTTTTTCAATCATAAACATCCTAATATATTTTCTTTTTTCTGATTATAGGTTATTTCTGATTGGATTGCAAAGATATGGGAACGGAAATTGGAAGAACATTTCTGAAAATGTTGTGAGGACAAGGACTCCGATTCAATTGCTAGCCATGCTCAGAAGTTCTTTAATCGCCAAAGGGAACAAAAAGAGAAGAAGAAGAAGCATCCATGACATCACCAATCCTGATGTTCAAACCCATTGTCAACATCAAAATCAAATTGTTTCTTCAAGTCTTCCAAGGAATCAATCTTATTACAACCCACAGAATCCCCCAAATGTTGTTCAGTCTCTTCAATTTGTAAACACAAACAGCGGATTTCTTGTGTAAAGGTTTGTTTTTCTTCAACTGATTTTGTAGTATACAATGATTGCTTGTTTTCTAGCATTTTAGTGAGTAAAATATTGATTATCTCTCTGGCTCTAAGGCATTTGTCCCTCCAAAAATGCTTCACAATCTTTTACAATCCCCCAACTTTCATTTTTAGTTTAATGTGTGGTACTGTTGATGTTATTGATAAGTTTTATAGGATTATTTTTAGACTAGAATCCATCAAAGAAGAAATATTAGTTTGGAACAAAACGAAA